CAATCTATTCATGTTTACATTTTGGAACACTGAAACCAAAAAGAGCTCAGTTAGCTTTGTTATTGGAAGACAATTCACCCTGTTAGCCCTGGAAGTAAAGGAATATTGTTTCTCTGGAACAGATGTTAAATCCTCCACTTCCTTAGCCGTTCATTTCTGCACCAAGTTCTGGAGAGAGCAGAGACCTCAGTGAGCTACAGATCTTGGGTCACCTTCAATTTTAAAAGCCTTAGACAGTCGTTTTGCAGTGAGAACGCTCTCAAGTGACATGTCAGTAAAACTCATTTTATACTTCTTTCTAAGAAGCTCCTAGCTTTAACACTTATAAATAATGTGTATATATGCTGAAAATAAGAAAATGAATATATCATGTCTCGGTAAGTTACTAGTATTTTGTATTGTAAACCTTTGACAAATTTGAAAGAGGGTGGAGCATGTCAAGGACTCTAATGAAGAGCCGGTTGGAGGGAGAAATCTAGGAACTAGATAGACCATGGAAGACGTGCCTTACCCTTGTCACTGCCAACTTGTGGGTGCAAACATCTGGTTCTCAAACCTGGTGTGTTAGTTAGATTTCTGTTTCTGTAACGAAATTCCTGAACTAATCAGTGTACAAAGATGAAAGGTTTATTGTAGCTCGTAGCTCTGGGGATGGCAGTCCAAGACAGGTTGACACTCTTAGTCTGGACCTGCGGCAGCACGTCATGGTGGGAGTGTTGCAGGAGCGAAGCTGCTCGGCTCTTGGCTGTGACGTGAGAGGAAGAGGAAGGAGGTGAGATCCCACAGTCCCCTTTACGGTAAGCTTCCAGCTCTCAGTAGGCCCCACCTTTTAAAAGTCTCTGTCTCATCTTCCTGTAGTAGTATTCTGGAGAACGAGCCTTTCACATGTGAGTCTTCAGGGGATTTTAAGATTCAAGCAATAGCTGGGCATGCTGGTGCACATCTGTAATCCCAACACTCTGAGAGACTGAGCTGGGAAGATCTTGATTTTTGAGCCCAACCTGGAGAATTTAACAAATTAGTGAGAACCTATCTCAGAATTAAAAATTTAAAAATAAACAAAGAGCTAGGGTTTTATCTCAGTGCAAAGATCCAGGGTTCAGTGTCTAGTATTCCCCTTCCCAAAATAGCTAAACCATAGCACCTGGATCCCGAATTCATTTCACTGAAGTTTATGAGCTCTAACAGCTGCTGTTGAATGGTTGACACCAGAGACTACTAGGCACAAAGAACGAACAGCTGGGTTACTGGAATAGCAATGTTTGGGAGGGTCTCTTGGTCTCCCTTGTAACAAGCTAAGGAAATATTCTGGATTATTAGATGTTCTATCAGATCAATGACATCTTTGTCTCTGGTTTGGAGATGTCCACATCCTTTGGCAGCAAAGCAAAGATGTCATCCAACACAAGCTTGTGAGACTCAGACGGTACTCATGGGCTGAGGGGCGGGGGAAAGAGACACAGCACTAACTGGGCAGCCGGCTGGTGGAATGTTGAGTGGGTATATTTGACCTGAAATGTAGCAAGTCATATTTCAATAATATTTACCATATTTGAAAAAAAACAAAGTTATAAGCAGAAAAAAGAGAAAAGGATTAGCTCGTTTGGAAGTACTCTCAGAACCTCTGCACTGTCCAATACAATTGCCACTAGCCATATACACATATTCAAATTTAAATTAATAAAAATCATATTTAATTAGGATTCAGCTCCTCTGTCACAGTTAGACCATACTTCGAGTGCTCAACAGCTGACACGTACTGGTAGTTACTCTATTAGATAGGGCAAATGTAGACCGCTGCACTCGTTTTACAGTGCTCTAAATGCAGCTCCAGAGTTTCTGGAATCCCTTGCAAATATTATACAGCTGATTTACTTCTCAAGGCCTATCTTTCTCATTAAGACGTTTTCATGTATGAAATTGAGCTAGTAAGCACTTCCTCAAAGGACTGCTGAGATATAAATGAAATAGCGATCTTAAGCCATATATCTCAGCACCTGGAGCATTACAGACTTAACACATACAAGCAGTTTGTTTGCAGCTGTTGACAAGTTCATTTAGAATCTGACCAAAAACATCCATATATATGTATATATATTTGTCACCCCCCGCCAGTACTGGGGAATGAACTCAGGACCTTGCACTTGTGAGGCAGGTGTAGCACCACTGAGCTAAATCCCCAGCTGTATTTCAAAAGTACCTATAACCAGGGATAGTGACAGCATAATGGTACAGCACTTGCCTACCACGTGCAAAGGAACTGATTAAATCTCCATCACTGAAAACTGAAAACAACAACAAAACCCATAAAACTTTCTGAAACAACTGGAATTAGACTGTTTTAACGGGAGTTAAATCACTCATCACTGTGGTTGAAAGTCTTTCTCAAAGCCAGGCCAGCATCATAATTCTGAGGCCAGCCTGGGCTACATAGCAAGATCAAGGCCAACCTGAACTACACAGTAAGTTTAAGGCCAGCATTACCTACATAGCAAAAAAAAAAAAAAAAAAAAAAAAAAAAAAAAAAAAAAAAATCAGTGTCTTAAAGAGTAAGGCTTTCCCCTAGCCAATAATGAATATAACTGTACTGAATACCTAAAAAGCACCAATAAACTTGAAAAAAAAAAAGAGTAAAGAGTAAAGCTTTTCTTTTCGAAGATCTTTTGCATCTTGATAGAAAAGAAAGAAGGAAATGAGAACAGTTCTAGCCCTGACATGCCCTTTTCCTTTTTAGAAGATCTAGGAGATTAAAAAACAATCTATGCAAAGAGGTGTTACGCTGTAGGTGTCAATACAGCCTTGGGTCCAGACAGGCAGCCTGGCTGCTCCTGGAAGAACTGTATATACACACCATGGGTAATTACTTTGGGTTACAGCTGCTAACATGATTTTGCAAACTCCCTGCCTGCAAAAGACTGATCATCCCCTCAAGAATGAGCCTGAACTTACTGCAAATGTGCACCTTGCAGACCTACCTGAGCTTCTCCTGCCACAGGCTCTTTAGGTCTCTCATAATTTGCATTCCTTGGGCAAATGGAATAAATGGAATTTAAATTTGTTAGGCAACTTTCATCCTGATAGAAAACCAAGATGACACACGCATACCATGATCTCATTGTTTAGGATTTCTGCTTTAAAATCACAGATGTACGCTTCGACAGGCAGGTGAGGAAGAGCAGCTGGGCTCAGTTCTGCTTAGCTTTCACTAATGCTTCTTGACTTACTTGCACAGCCTTTGCTAAGCACGGCAGTGTCAGATATCTCAGCAGGCCTTGATAATATTCTGGTGTGGTGGGAAGACCCTGAGGTATTGCGATCAGAAGACCAGAATGCTGGGGCGGGGCTGCAAGAAGCCTGTAAGTAGGTATTCTCTTGTACCCACAAAGAAATGTGAGATCAGAGGGTTGCAGTCAGACAAATTCATTGGTCTGTGGCTGCCAATGGAGAGAATGATGCTCTTCTAGATTTTGCAAGGATAAAGGGAATCTTTGTACATTTGAAATAATTTATTCAATTTGCTGAAAACAACCACAAATTATTTCACTAGCAACCTGAAAGGATGCTTTTGCCTCAATTTTGTCTTAATTTCTCCTAAATTATCTCTCAGTAAATGAGATGACAAGATAAGTTTCTTTGGGACTCTAATGTGGCTGTTTTGATCCCCAATACTTCCATACACCTTCATTTTTCTAGTTTTTCTGATGCAGAAACCACAGCTTCTGAGAAATCTGCCTCCCTTTGTGGGAAAGATCAGCAAAGGGCAGGTGGCCTGAGGTAGTGGACCTAAGCTGGAATCCCAGTTCTACACTGTCTGGATTCGAGGACTTTGGTTTGTCACTAACTTTGTTAAGTCATAGTCTGGCCATAGAATGGTGAGAAGAACCATGCTTCAGAATGAAATGTGTATAAAGTTAACAGAGGTGATGTAAAGGCACATGAATGTAGCTATGAGGTCCCAGAAACTTCTACAAGCCCTTTCTCTTTCCACATATGCCTACCTAGTAAAGCTAGAAGGTACCAGTTTGGGATCATTAGGTTCCTGTTTTTCTTTAGATTTTACTTTGCAAAAATCTCACTTGTCTCCACTATGCTGAACAAAAAAAAAAATCTCTTATTGAAGAACCATATGATGTTGATGTCACTGATTTATTCATTTACAAATTGCTAGGTAGGATGCTTTGAGTGTGAAAACTGCCTCGAGCTTTGGCCAGTGAAGACCTTCTGTCTCTGGCATGAGGTCCTAGCAACCTGTCCTTCTCATTACATGGCACCATCTACAAAGGCAGACTTTGGTGCAGAGTAACTCACTAAATAGATAGAGTAAGCAATAGACGGTGTGTCAAAAGCAATCCAAGATCACAGTGGGTGCCTATGAGAGAGTCTACTCCATACTGACAGTGATATGTATACAAGCTGTTAGTAGCTTAGATTCAGGGTTCTCTGGGCAAGTAAAGGGTGAGTTTAGACATTCTGATCTTTATTTAATATAGTTCTGAAGAAATCTGGTCTAGAGGCAGAGTCTAACTAAATAAATACCTTTGGCAAATTGTGCATCTTTAAAAATTCTGAGGTTGGGTTGTTCCCACGTTTCTACTCCCCAAATAAACTTCGTCCAAGATGGACACCACAGAACACTTATGAGATTAGATATTGGTTAAAATTTCATGATAAAGTGGCTGTGGGTCTAGCTCAGTGCTGGGTGCTTCCCTAGCACACACGACCTGGGTTTGATCCCCAGTACCACCATCAAAAAGAAAAACAAGTTCACCACGAAGAACCCTTTCATTTAGAATTAGTGCACATAGTATCGCTGCCATTCTTTTCAGTTTCAAAAGCAAGAGCTCGTAGATTTAACAATCTCCAACCTGTGCGAACTCAGAGGGCAGCAATGAGCCAAAGTGAGCGTTAAGGCATGATGGCAATGTACCTTCTCTTCCCTTTGGGATACAGGAGCTAATTCAACCAGTTCACTAGAGCAAATAATAAATTTATTAGGTGCCTACAAGTACAAAACACTGACAGTTGCTGTAGAGGATTATAAAGATGTGTAGGAGATGCACCGCCTGCCCTCGAAGAGCTTACAATCTAGGCCGTTAGTCACATGGCTAAGATGTGATGATAGCGCAGTAGGTGACACAAGCTAAGTTCCTGAAAACATTCATATCCCTTGGATTCTTTTTCATGTCAAAGGTGGAGGGAATTCTTACAATAGGGGAGATAAGCAGTAGGAAAGAGACCTTTTGTGGAGTGAAACAGAGACCTTGGTTTTGCTTATGAACATCTTTGCTTTGCTGTTGCTTATTCTCATAACTTTCTCAGCTCAATTCCCTAATGGGACCTTTGTTTGGAGAGAGTCTCTGTGCTTTCTGAATCTCCAGCAGGATTTCCTGTTTTGATGAGTGGCTCAGTTGCAGTTTAGCCTTGGAATGATTCGCGGTCTACTATTTTCTTCAACAAATCTTTTGATTTTAGTTGATGCTTATGTTCCTACACTTTGTAATCTGTGCTTTTAAGGGTTGGAAATAAGATGCAATACAAAGGAAAGAAGGCCAGACATTTCCCTTATGTTAAACATTTAATAGTGCACTTACTGGTTATATTCTGTACAGATATAGAGCAATTATAAACTTCTTCCTTTTATTTTTTTTTCACTTAGACTATATTCATGTAAAGTGTATTTACAATAAAGGGGAAAAAGCCTTGAGGTACAAAGCCCAAAAGAATATCTGAGGTATAAATACAAGTATATTTTAAATAATAATCTTTATCATGCTTTATCTATGTCTGAAAGCACAGTGGACAGACATGTGTACATGTTTCTTAATAGAATGGTATATACAACATACAATCTTACAAATCTGGAAGCCATCAAAATTGAATATATATCTTCACAAGGAACACTCATATCCAAAATACTCAAATTTAAAAACTCTAATCTGACCCCCAAAATTCTTCAAAGAACCTCTGAAATAACACTGACAATGGTAACTAAAATACGTTATAACAAAATAAAAATCCTTCTTACAACTCTCATTCATACATTATTCACTTTGGATCCATACAAAATAAATTTACTAATAATACTGTCTTGAGTCAATCTTTACCATTCCAGTAAAACCTGTATAAAGACCAACCTTCTGAAACATTGAACGGTTTTTTTAATGATTACTACTTCCCATATTACTAAGATATATTTCAAGGGCATTATAAAGGAGAGAAGAGAAAGAAATGTAGAAAAAGCAAAATAAAAAAATCTAGAAAACTCATTTGCTAATAAGAACAGAGCCCAATTAATAAATATGTGCAGTTTGCAGGAATGCTGTTGATAGCTACCACACACACACACACACACAAAAGCCTTTTGTGCCAGGATTAAATTTACAGAGATTTGCTTGGGGAGATAGTTTCCTATGTTTCCACGCACAATGTGCACAGTGTCTTAAAAGTGTTTATGCTATAAACAGAAAATGCAAAGAATTTCAACAGATAAATGATGTTTAATTCAGGAATACATCTTTTTGAGTGTTCAGTTTTTACTTCTCATTTAAAAATAAAAAAAACAAAACCTATGCTTTGGAGCCAGTAGGATGGGGAGGAGGACATTCACCTCTCAGCTAATCTTTACCAGCTAAAACTATATCTCTATTTGCAATCTAGTCTAGAAACAAACTGCATGTGAAATGAGTATCAAAATGATCTACAATTGCCTTTAAGGGAAAGATGAGGTTGATGGAGAAATAATATGCTTAACAACCTGGAAAAGAATAAATGGACAAGGGTGTCAAGTTCCCTTTCTGAATGGATCCATGGGTAGTCAGATAGTCCAGGTTAAACTGAGCCTGGTGCATCGACATGCTTCCCAGAGGCATTTCAGTGTGCCAGACACCGCATTCCAACTTACACACCCATGCCATTCAACCAGCGATAAACATACATTCACACTCCTCTGTGCAAACCTTTCTTTGTTCATCTCAGTGAGAAAACATGTCTGAGTACCAACTATTCCAGTGGATACACCAGTCCCACAACACACTGCCAATACATGACACAGGTACACATACACCAGTATCACAACAAAATGAAGTATCTTCATTTTCTTCCATAATGTATTTAGGACTTTGCTTCTCAGAAGCAATCTGAATAAGAATACAAGTACATTTTTCTTTTGCACAGTCATATATTCCAGTCAAGGTCTAGAATTTAAGACCTAAAACAAACAGGAAGCAGCTTTAAAAATGTATCAAATGACTAGAGTCCATTTCTAAACTCCAAATTGTATTTCGGGATCAGATGAAGACCAATTCTTCCAAGGACTGGTAACATCCTAGGACATCACCCAGGCAGATTCAGATGCTTTGCTTCAGTAGTCACCTGGATTTGCTGTCTCTGGTTTCACTGTTCTGATTACTGAAGGAGTCCCGGATCTTTACCACTTCAGCTGCACACAGATGTCCAAAAGATTTTGTGTACCACTCTGGCATGTGGCCCCTATTGCAGAAAGGAAAAATGATGATGCATTTACGCTAGAAAGTAGTCATGAATATATCCCATTTCTCTATCTCTGTCGCTGTTCCTTTCTCTTCAGTGTTGGAGATTGAACTCAGGGCCTTGCTAGGAAAGTGCTGTACCACAGAACTACATCCGCAGGCTCCCCCCACTTCCATTTTTTGACGAAGGAAATGTGTAAGTAAAGGTTATTCATTTATCTCCAAGTGATCTTCTGCCATGTCCATTGAAATTGGAACTAGAGATTTCCAAGGAACAACATACTGGTCATAGATACTGGATGAGACTGCTCTATAAAGGCTTTGGCATAAGTCACAGAAACAGATCACATGGATACCCGAAGAGCCAGTGAGATGGGAAGATTTCTACTGAGGGTCTATGTGCTCAGTCAGTTCTTGGAAAAAAGAACTGCTATGATTTGGATCTAAAATGTCCCCAAAGGCTCATGTGTTCAGAGGCTTTTGGAAGGTGCTGGCTCATGAGGGTTATTATCATCAGTGGGTTATAAGAGTTACAATAATAACATGGGAGACAGTTCTTAGAGTCTTCAAAAGTTCAAATTTTTGGCCTATATTGCTACATTCCACTTTTTTTTCTTTTTGTACCAGGGATTGAACTAGGGTCCTTGTGCTTGCAAGGCAGGCAGTGGAACCACTAAGCTAAATCCCCAGCCCCCACTCATTTTTTGATAGGAATATACATTCATCCACAGTATGAGGCATAGGCCTGATCAGTTATTAAAAGTGCACTCCACACTATTCAAACACTTTCAAATAGAAAATGAGAAATTTGCTAGCTCAAATTCAGTAAATACATAATTTCCTTGGTACTTAAGGGTAGAACCACCAAATTTACATTGCCTTAGTACCACTTTTTCTAAGGAATCCAGATCAGGCAGTGGCCCACAAAAACCAGTAAACATAAGGGAGCTGCTTTATAAGCACCACTCTTTGTGAAGTCACCAAAGTACAGTGACATAGTTGCATAAGTCATTTTTCACCGGACAACTGTCAAAAAGGCACAATCAGAACATACCTTAAATCAGCTCTGCACATGTAGGTGAGTTTGGATTTTCCTGACCCGCAGGGTTCAATCAAATACCTGGACAGGAGCACATTGACCCTCACACCCACTACAGGTGCCCGGTCATGATCCACAGAGGTGAGTAAAAGGGCACATGCTCCCTTGGGTAGATTAGTCCTCCATGTTCTGTGGAGACAAAACCAGAGGCAGAAAATGAGATTTCTTGGAAGCCCAACTGAAAATGTTGCCTTATTCCAATGAGACAATTAAGGGCCAGGCTTGGAGCTACATGTGACACATACTGGGTAAATGTATTCTTTAGACCACTACATAAAGACTTCAGGATGAATCACACCATACAGAATCCCTTCTACTGTGGGGCTATGTGCTCAGTCATTTCTTGAAAATAAGGAACTGTTATGATTTGGATCTAAAATGTCCCCCAAAGGCTTACATGTTCAAAGGGAGGGCTTTTGGAATGTGATTGGCTCATGAGGGTGATAATATCACCAATGGGTTATAATAGGAGGGTTATACTAATCAGGGTAATAATATCATCAGTGGATTAATCCACTGTTGGATTCATCATTTGGTGTCATTATTAGTATTCGATAGAATCAGGAGTTAGGGCCAAGTTCAAGGGCATAGGGGTATGCCTTTGGGGACTGTATGTGATCTCTCTTTCTGTTTCCTGGCTGACATGAGGTGAGCAGTTTCCTTCTTCATGTGATCCTGTTGTTATGATGTTCTGCTCTATCTGAGACTCAAAGTAATGGAGCCAGTGGACCACCGACTGAAACCCCCGAAACCATGAACCAAAATAAACTTTTCCTCCTTAAATTGTTTCTTCAGGTATTTTGCCACGGTGACAGAAAGCTGGCAAACACAAGAACCAACCTGATGTGTTGCTAAAAACCACTAGTACATTTCACGAATGTCTTAGAACATGGACACCCAAACAAACACTGCTCTGTTGGAAACATTCTGCATAAATGATTATGACATTTCCTCAAAGATTTTTGGAATTCCTCTGTCCATAATGTCTCCAGAGATTTTTATTAATCCCAAGTAAATCAGCATTAACTGCATCTCACTTAGGACCCAAATGTTACTTCCTTGTTTATTCATTCACTAGCTATTTCTAACCAGAAAAATCCATCCTAAAAGGGACAAAAATCTGCTACCAACGAGCCTATTAATTTCTTTCTTTCTGAGCTCAGTTCCGAAAGAGTTACAAGCATTGTCAGCGATGAATGCCCTGTTGGAATAAATATAGATCTATATTTATATGTGGAAGGGATCATCACGTTTCTAGAAGCCTGTTTCATTTTAAGTAACCATCTTATAAGATTCAGCGATATATATAGGCTCAATTCTGACACTTGGTCATCTGGGCACAGTAACCAGTTTGGAAGATCTCACCTCAATACCACATAGTCCCGAGCAGGGTGGGGTGCCATGCTATTCTGGACGTACTGGTAGATTTCAGTCTGGCTGTCCAGGATTTCAATCACTTTTGAATCCAATAGGTCTACATCCCAGAGGTGCTGCTCTTTTAGTAGGCGCTTTAAGATTTCTTCAGGTGTAGCAGGGACTTCAATGGTTGATCTCCAGAGCCTTAGAGGGGGCCCTTCACTCACCTGTAAAGATTGTGTTCAAACAAGATACACACATCTTGACTTAGGAAGGCAAATTATGAGTGGAGATATAGTCCTGTTTTCAGAGGTTAATACATTTATGACAGTAATAAACTTCCCTAAGTATATTCAGAAGTAGGCCAGGAAGCAAACAAAATAGCTGGCATCCAGTCTGGTTAATATCATTACATTTGTTTTTTAAGAATGCATAGTAGGGAGAATGTGAAAGAATATGATCATTCATTTATTTATACCTGAAAGCCCATATGACCATACAGACCATTCCATTTATTTTCAAGGTTGTAGAGAAACAGTGTTAACAAACACCTCTATGGACCTATCATGATGAGCCATAGAGGATGCCCAAAGTAGATTATCTAAGAAAAAGATGGGCATGCAGAGTTTAGAAAAATTTAAGAATGTCTTAAAATGCCCCTTTAAAAGCTTCAGTAAAACACCCGAAGAAACAAACAATTTCATTAGGAGTTGACTGAAATCTTCTCAATGTAAAAGAGCATTAGTCATGGGACTGGTTTCCGCTCTTATTTGGGAATCTAAATTACATGCCTGCCTAGTTCTCTAAGGATGGTCTGGGCTAGATTCCCATGGAGTCTCATCTCTGATGAACCTAAGTCCTGAGCATGGGTGTGCAAAAGTGGAAAGACTTACTTTCTTATAGGACAGCTCGGCCTGCTCAGAAGTGGAGTGGTTGACCCAGCCTTTAAACTTCTCTTTCACCTCCTTAAACAGGCCATCCACACAATCCTGGAGGAAGTGTTTGTAGTCAGCAGACTGGTTGTTGCTCAGGTGTCCCAACGCCTCCAGTGTGAGGGGCTTCAGCTCTTGCTCTGTGTAGGAATTGCGACATCGGCTCATTTCCTCAGGCACCTGGGAGGAGACACAGAAGTGGGGGGCGAGTCTACCTGTGTTCACTCTCAGTGAACATGGGAATCAGCGAAGGCCTGGATCCTCAAGGTGGTAGAGGCCAATCAACCTCTGTATTCAACAGATGGTGGTGGAAGAGGTTCACATAGTTTATGAAGGTATAGACAGACCAGCCTCACAAACATACCTAAAACACTTATTCTTGTGTGAAGCTTTCTTCTTTGCAAAGTTACAGTAGTAGGGTAAGTTACTAAAACAGGGCTTACACTGATCAAAGCATGGTTCTCAGATCTGCTTACCTGGAAAAGCTTCTTGCACTCTGCAATCATATGAGCCAGCCCTTGAGTGGCCGCTAAGTTTTCATTCAAGTCTTTCTGATCTGGTTTGCCCAAACTTTGTTTTCTTTGCATTACCCTAGGTAAAAGAAATAAAGGAGGCGAAGGAGTCAAATACGTATGCAGTTTTCATTAGTGTATAACTCAAGGAAACTCAAAGAGGAGGAAAAAAAACATTTCCCTGCTGCCTATTTGTTGTTAAGTGGTTTAAGAGAGCTTTTATTTTGTTCACCAGAGTTACTCAGTTTTATCAACATATGTGCGCAGCATGCATACACACACACACACACACACACACACACAACTAAAGAGACTTGCTTTTAATGAAATCCAGGTTAATTAAAGCCATGCGGTTAAACAGGTTCCTGTCTTGTAGCTTATAAGAACTGCGTCTTTGTGTCTATGCTATGCTGGCGAACAGAGGGTGCAGGTGGAGACTGGGAGTTGCTGGTCACTATTCTTACTCTGTAAATAAACAGGATCCCCTTCCACAGGTGAGGGATGCATCTATTGTTTCCTGGAGCGGGTGTCTTATTCTTATCTCCTACTCATCTCTGGTTTTCAATCCCATTAAAATTGCTGGAATGCTTTAGCAAACTTTTAGAAATAGATAAAAGGGCACTTAAAGCATTGTATCGCTTTCAGGAACAGAGCAAACTTCAACTAGCATAATTAGGCCTCGGGTTCCTTCAGATTGAGAGAAGGTTCAGCTGGGGGATTTACTATGCGGAATAAGTCCAGTTATTCACTATTTCCTTTTATACTACAACAGAAGTTCCTGACATGAAATATTCACCTAAATTAGAAGCTCATGTTGGCTCTGCTATTTCTTCCTATCGGATACAGACAAGTTACTTACTGAGCTGATCTTGCCTTACCCCTCACTTTCCTCTTATGGACTTTCACTTACAATTGTTATAATGATTGAATATCAATGAGAAGAGAAAAGCTCTGTTCTAGACCCAGAACAGGGGCTAGCAAGTATCATCTTTGGTTATTTTTCAGATGACTTGACTTTCTCCACATCCTGTCCCATTTATATGTATGTATTCTAGGCAGAACTCGAGGCCCAACATCATCCTTTGTTCTTTAAGAGCTGGTTATTTCAGTATGGGGCACAGGTTACAAAGTTTGGCTTATCAAACTATGCAGAGGCAAAGACAACAGGAGTCATCCATCTGGTTATGACTAGTAAACCTGCATGGTTTCTGCAGGCAGAAAGCAGCGCTATTATCCTTTGCCTCAGTGTAAACACAGGCCATGTCAAGGCACCAAACAATGTTTTATCAAAAACTCAGTTAGTTGTTATGGGATTGCTAGAAATATCAAGGCACACTTTTTAAAAAGGACTGAGAGGAAAGGAGGCAAAAGCGTAGGGCAGCCTCATGGGGCTGTGAACGAAGGCGGTCTGAGTTTCACTTGATTTAGGTAAGACGCCAACAAGAATGTAGTGGCAGCCTCAGAAGGAGAGAGCTGCCTCAGTCTGAGGAACAGAGCGTGTGTGTGCCTCCTTCTGTCTGACCTGTACCTGGGAGAGGAATTCTCTCTTTTCAGGGTGTTGAGGTGGAAGAGGGATGGTGCCAAGCACACGGCCAGGTTGGTGGGAGTCATCTGGTTTTCTTTTACAGCTGCAGAGACGTCGCTCAGGAAGTACAGGAGCGTCTGAAGAACTTCTCGATTCTCATCAGGCAGGAGCATAATGGCGGCCTTGATAGCCTGGAGGCGCTGGTCCTTGGGAACATCTGCAGGGCGCAAGCATCCCCATCAAGTCAATGATTTCCACATGTACACGGCAGGGGACTGTCCCAAAGCGAACATCAGTGTCCAATACGGAACAAGCATTTTCAGAGAGTTCACTAGAGGTTAGTTAGTAAGGAAAAACTTATGGACTGCCACCAGCGTTCCTACCCTCAACTACTTTCTGCCTCTTGGAGGAGTTAAGACGTCGCATACACACCAAATACTAATGCACTCCTAAATCTACCTCAGACGTCAGCTCTGGATGATTTCTGTCAGTTTATAGAACAAAAGCCTCTTGTAAGCCCATTTAAAAAAAAACCCAGAATAATATATAATCTGTTATTGAAGTCATTATAAGATTAGCCTCTCGTTTCAATGATTGGTCTTAGCTATATCTGAGGGGACAAGAACTGAGATCTTGGTATTGACTTATGAAAGGTTCACTTTTTGGGAACATTTGGAATTGAGTACCTTGTTTTTGAAATGCGAAAAATTGTTAGACTATTCAATTTAAACAACAGATTGCTTTGCCTAGTAGTACAGTTTTGGAAACCACAAAGATGTGATTATAGAAGTGCACATAATTATGCAAATACATAAAAGGCAAATAAACCTATACATAACCTATATTAGGAAATGCTGAACCTAACTTTTGGATCTCCTTTACTAGGCAAACCTTTTAAAAAGTAAGTAGTGGAAAAAATATCAAGTCACCCAAATGCAGTGCCATAGGACACACTGATTAAACAGCTCCATGGTTACAATACATAACAAATACCTTGGTGGGGAAAATGTGGCCTGTGTTTTCATAAAATATGAAAGGATGAAACAAATAATGAAATAATCCAGACCAGCTTCATTTCTCATAAAATGAAGTCCAACATACCAGTTCTAAAGACAATTTCAGCACCAAAAGAAGCTGCTTTTAAATCACATTGCTGTAATACCACTCTGTGCCAAGAAAAACACAAGGCTGTAAAAGCTATAATCCTGCTCTTGATCATTAATTTCAACAACTGTTTGCTTTAAACTTTTCTTAAAGTGAGAAGGGCATGGGGTATTGTTTTCCCAAGTATTTCTGGCAGGGACTCTGATGAATAACAGAAAAAGATTATTTATTCATTTTACTGTGAGATAAAACACTCAGACACCTGTGAAATTTTAAATACAATAGGCCTGCTAGAGAGATATAATACAAATGAAATGGAGAGAGAAAAGGAGAGAGAGAGAGAGACAGAGAGAGAGGGAGAGATTGATCGATCTTGGTATCTGCTCTTTACTCATTTTAGATAAAGCATCTTAGAAACAAATCAAAGAAGCCGGATCAGAATGTAGAAATATATAACAGCCATTATAGTCTAATGATAAGGACAATTTATATTCTCATAGTTAAATAAGTATTCAAAAATCTGTTCCCCAAACAAGAGGTCAAGGAAGAAGTTGCTGACACATGTCTCCAAGAGGTTACCACATGGGTCCTCTTGTCAAAATACCAATATCAGAGGAAGCTGCCCCAAAGTCAACCATCTTGACACCCTAGAGCACTCACACTGGTAGATCTGTAGAAAGGTCTCTGAGAGCTTGTTTGTCATCAGTGGCTCAGGAAGATCTCGAAAATACTGCTTCAGCATGTCTGCCACGTCGTAAGCAGACTGCCCTTCATAGCTGACACAATCCATGGCACTCTCGTTCATCTGGCGCAGAGCCTGGATCCGGGATTTGACGCCCGATTTTCTGAAGAGCCCGACCTTTGGGAAAGAAAACATCAGGTGTCGGGATGGAAGCATCATCTGCCCTACAGAACTAGGACGAGGAGCCTAAAGCCGAGCTCGCATGATGGCACAGGACCCACAGGCAGCATCCCTCACCTGGTCCAGACAGTGGTTGCGGAGATAGCGCATGGCCTGCTGGATGCTCTGAGGCAAGGGCTGTCCTGTGCGCTGCACAATGACCGTCAGAGGGACCCCGAACACACTCCGGTCTTTGTAGTCTGGAACCTTGATCCTTTTCATGAACTTGGGCACAGCCCTGTTTAAAGAACACGGTGGTAGGGATTGTGTTTATCTGACAATCTATACTTGCCCTCCTCTGCAGGAAGCCTTAGTTTCTGCTAAAACAGTAATTAAATTTAAATGACATAAAGTGACCTATCCAGTTTCTTGGCCTTACCACATTCTGAGGGCTCACTGGCCATTTGTAGCCAGTAGGTACTGCACTGTACTGTGCAATTACAGGGTCTTCTCACCATCACCAAAAGTTCTGTTCTAGCTCTATTCGGGATTTAGTATCAGGTCTTAAGGTATTAGCTATTAAGTGTTAGGGTTGTGAGGCCCAGTTACATTACCTCGGCTGGGCATTGTCATTTTACTGTTGGCCTTGCAAACTCAAGGTTGTATTCTTAAGGGACCTGATGGCCTTTCTTACAAAACAGTGGTACAAGGGCCAGGGATTTAGCTCAGTGGTTCTGCCTTGCAAGGGCAAAGCCCCTTGATCCCTGGTACCAAAAACAACAACAACAACTACAAAAACAACAACAAAACAAATGGTGGTACAAGAAAGAATAGAAGCAGAAAACATGGGAAATCCCAATTAGGTTCTTTTGTTAGAGTTTCAAAAACAAGATCCAAGGACATTGGCACAAAAGATTCAGGTAATGGTGCAAGAGAAAAGAGCAAATACACAATGTTGGTCTAATATAGCATGACCCAAGTCTAGAGCTGAACAGTAAAGGACCCTGCTGATGATCCCAAAGAATATAGAATCTTCAGGTTTCTAAGGGAACAAGGAAATGGAACAATGCCTTTTTTGTGAGCCTACCCAGGCTCCCTGGAGTCCTGAAACCAGCTCCACCTCCAGCAGTATACGAAACAGCAGGAAGCCCATGTCATACATTTAAGGCTGTCAAGCAGACATCTGAGCTCTACAGATGACCCCTCTGGGTGAGACAAGAAAGGGCAAGGGCAAACAAGAAAGAAACTTTGGGCAGAATTTTCCCCTACAACATGAATCCCACAATGCCAGGCTTTTACATTTGGTTTTGACTCACTGGAAAAACTGACCAGAACTCAAGAAGTATTATAGACTTTAGGATTCTTGAGGGTTTGGTGGGAAGGGTGCGGGTAGCTCTTTGGGAAGGAGAATCTAAAATATGCAGTTTTAAATAGCCAGAAGGGAAAGTATTACCCTAAAGCACAAAGGAACCGTGCAGAAGACCGACCGCCTTGATTTTTGAGTGCTTCTCACCAGTCACCATTTATAGCTCTAGGAAAGGTAAAGCTAAAGAGCACAGCCAAATTTGTACTGCCATACCGTTAAGTATACGGTATTACGGCTGGAAGTGTGCATAATGCTCACTTTGTTGGGGCAGCAAAGCCTGGCTGCGGAATGTGGGAAGAACACATTACGCTCCCCACCGAGAATCTGAAGCACGTAGGGGTAAACTGGTCAATACTTATTTCTGTAATTCAGAACAAACAAGTTCTGTATTTAGCGAGGCTCTCATAATAACTGCCTTTGCATAGGAGGTGCTTTGATGCTGCAGTTCTGTGCACTGCGCATTTCAAGGAGGAAGAAGAAGTGGAGAGAGCAAGATCAGCTACCTGGCTCTGCAGACACTCAAGCAACTTTCGTCTGTTACAAAGCACTCTCTTGAAATAGGCTGCGTCTCTGTTTTCAAAACAACTGGATAAAAAACACGCCAATGAATGAAAAGACTCGACAACATCCAGCTGACACTGCAAAATGCACTGAGATGTCAATCGAGAGGTAACTCTTAGCTTTGCACAGTGGAGAAAAATTCGTACGTACACAGATTGAGTCACACTCACAGCCCATCCACCCTAACAGTCTGCATTCCACATTGTACACACGCAAGGCTGGATTCTGAAAAGTAATTCTAAAGAAATCATCTAACAAATTTCACCTGTATTTATATATTTGTCTATAACACTTTATAGTGCATTTCTTAAATGAATCTCTTTGATGGGGAAAATACTAGTAACTCTTTTGCAAATGTAGATTTTTGAGTGATCCTGCAAATGTTCATATCAAAAATGATTTCAAATGGCTAGGTAATGGACATCAAACATTTCAAGGATGATCTCATGTCATCTTAACACTTTTCTTTCCTTCTTTCCAAAATATGACCTGCTATTGTACACATATTTACCTATTGTGGGTTATTTCTACCACTGGAAAGGAGGTGGCTGTACCATTTGATGTGAGAATAATACATTCTCAACTCCACCAACAGGCAATCTATCATTCTAAGAGAAGAAAACTCTCTTAATTCTCCTAAAATCCCACCAGCTTCAGCATTACTGAATGCTGCCTAAAACTGCAGATTGCATGAAGACTGTTGACTATACATTAATAAAGGACACAACTGTAATATTCTTAGTGGCCTTGAGGAGCTGACCAAATACATCATTCGCAGGGACACTTTACCAAGAAGTTTAAGGTCTTACCAGCTAAAACCATGCTTGTTAGAAGGTGTGTATTTTTCCAGCAGGGCCGTCAGCTTCAGAAGTGAGTATTTCTGCAGTAGGTTCATCTGGGCCACAGACTGGCAGTTAATCTGCAGAGATACAGAGTTTAGGCTCGGCCGATGAAAGCTCTGGAAACTGTGCCATCTCAGTCTGTGTCTGGAAGAGAACAGGGCAAAGTGAGTGAGCACAGAAGCTTTTGAACAGTAAATGCGAAGTCGGCCATGGGCTCAACTGCCACTCCAGTCCTACTATCCCCCTGTGGTAGAATGAGCAGTCATTCCTTAGGTATCAAAGACTGCGGGAGGCGGGGGTTGCTTCCAGGACGCCGTTGGGTGATCGCATCCATAGATGCTCAAAGCCCTTGTAGAAGATGGTGTACTGTTTGCCTAGAACCTATCCTATGTGCATCCTCCTCTTCACTTTTTTGTTGTTGTTGATGTATTGGGGATTGAATCCAAGGGCTCTGCACTGAGCTACATCTCCAACCTTTTTATTTTTAATTTTTGAGACAGGGCCTTGCTAAGTCACTGAATTGCCCAGGCTGGGATCAAACTTGCAACCTCTTGCCTCAGCCTTCCAGAATGCTGGGATTACAACCATGTCTCACCATGCCTGGCCTCTTGTTCAGTTTAAATCATCTCTAGATTACTTATAATATCAAAGACACTGGAAATGCTTTGTAATTAATTATCATATTGTGTTATTTAGGGAATATTGGTAAAAAAATAAATGTTCAGCACAGACACAATTTGTTTTTCCAAATATTTTTGATGCAAGTTGGTTGAAACCATAGGCACAGAGAGAACCTGTGGATAAGGAGGGCTGGCTGGACATAACACAAAATATGTCATTCAACCATTTTTACCTACACAGTTCCATGGCATTAAGTCCACTCACACTGTTGTGCAGCCAGAACCACTCGCCACCTCCATTTTAAAAATATTATCCAACAGAGCAGTACCCACAGAATAGTACCCCTTCTTTCTGAATGTTGGTATCTCCTGGTATGAAAGCTTCCTTAGGAATTACACGGCTGTGAATGCCAGTGTCCACTCCATGTCCTCCCACAAAGCCAGCGGAAGCAATCCCGTTCCGCCTGCCATGCCCAAGCCCAGAGGAGGAAGATCGTGGCTCTTACCTGTTGCACCTGGTCAGGGAGGCCCCCACCCCAGAGTCCCTTCTCTCTGGAATGTCAGCAGGCTCTTCAGCCTCGTTTAGGGAGTTGCCTGTGCTGTCCAGGTCACTGGGGGTGACTCGGTCTTGGTCTCCGTCCAGGTGTATCTGTTTCGGAGACGATGGACAAGGAGAGACAGAATCTAAGGCTGAGTCGGAGTCTCCCTCATCTGAAAACTTCTCAGACCACTGGTTGACTATGCGCTGCATTCCCTTCACGTGGTAGAGGATGTCATCCAGTTCAGGGAAAATGTCTTCATTCTCCAGGTCAGCCAGGTCACCCGAGCTGGAATAGAGGATGGAGCCTGGCACGTTGTCATAGATACTCAGGCGGCTGTTCATGGAGCTGGAGGAGTTGCGTCTCTGAAGTTCCTTAGGGTTGTCACTGCTGTTTTCCCTTCTTAGGCTGATGTGGCCTGGGCCATGGAAGCTTCCAGTCCTCCAGTTCACAGAGCTGTTATTCCCCGTGGGACAGAAACTGCTGTTGGAGAGAGCCTTGGGGAAGGTGCCAGGCTTGTGATCTTCAGGGATGTAGAACACCATGTCCTCCGGGTAGCTCTCCCGGTTCTTAAAGTTGTGCTCCATCACACTGCTAAATGCAGACTGGCTGAAAGGATCAAAGCCCTCGAGGTACATGCCCACTCGCTTGTTGCATGTGCTGAGGCTGCGAGTCCTGGTGACAGGGCTGGGCGTGCTGACTGCACTGCTGGTCTCCGACTGGCTGCTGCTACTGCTGGTCTGTGTGGAGTTGGAGACGCTTCTCTTCCGGACCATGGGGACGTTGATGTGGTTGCCATTAAGGGCTGAGATCTCCACGCAGTTCAGCTGCTTCAGCTTCTCCTCATCGATCCCTTCTTGAAGAATGGGCCCACTGATGACGAGCCCCAGCTTGGAGGGTGCTTTGTGCTTGCTGTGGTGGGAGCCCTTGAGCTTCAGGCTCTCCATCCGTTTCAGCAGGCTCCGGGTCTTGGACTTGGCGATCTTCTCATGGCCTTTCATGCTGAAGTTGAAGCCGGACAGTTCTTTGGGAGAGGGCAGGCTGCAGAAAGAGTCGTCATTGCCTGTAAAGTGACTAGAGGAACAGACACTGATGACAGAATTAGTCCGGGGTGTTGCAGCTTCCCCACTGTGGGGCACTTGGGTGGGGACACTGCTAGTGCTACTCAGGCTGCGCACAGAAGACACCTCCTGGTGCTCGCTGAGGTCGGTCAGCATGCTTTCTTGGCTCATGGCATTCTTCAGGTGGGAATCATCCGGGGACCCTGGGATTGGGTCCTGCTTTGGAGAAAAGACATCAAATTCTTCAAGCCGGGACCACCTCTTACTGTCCCTCTGGAAAGTCCATTTGCCACTTATTGCACAAGGCTCATCTTCGTCTGAATCCTCACTCTGCAGAAACATAACAGAGCTATTCATACACTGGGACTGGTGGGCAGCAAGGGCGCAGGGACTTGCCGAGGGGTAGGGGACTGCTCTAAAGATGTCACCAATATAATTTCTCCCCTTCTTACTTTCTGTTGAAGTAACAGAGATGAATTTAAAGAGTCTAGGAGGAGAAAATCTGGTGAGGTGTTAGAAGCTAATTCAGTTATTTTATGAACTGAGAGCTATAGGCTGTTCTTTAGTTTTTCAGAGGAAATCTTGATCTGTGAAAATTCGAGGCATATGAAATATTTTGGACTGGAGTCAGCAACCGTTGGATTCTCTCTGGACTAACTTCAGTTTTGCTATCTGTTGATAGTATGTGTTTGTATTCCCCTTTACAATTAAAAAGGTAGCTTTCAAACAGTAAGAAGAGAGGCAACTTAAAGATCTAATCATCCCCCAAATTTCAAGATCTCATACTAAATTAATGGACCAACCCAGATAAGCCATCGTATGCCCCAGGCCAACACTGTGGCACCTCTTACCTGTTCTTTTTCTCCCCCACCCTACCAGGGTTTATGCCACCATTATCCTGTACATTTTCCACCTCAAGTAGGCTCCAAGCAATCTGACAAGGTTTTGCAAACAGCCAGTCCTGACAGCGGGGGATATCTGCAAACACTAAGAGTGACTTTCCTGATTGTGTCTGATTTACATGTAGAACTCAGGAACTTGGTGTCACAGACTGTCGCATACTGGCCTTTCAGGATATCAAAAGGCACAATCCAGTATGATAGTATCTTTGCACCAGGGCAGAAAATATCATATAGCCCAAGTTTCACAGGACAATGAGTAGAGAGCTTGAAACAGTGACTTGGAGACTTTTCTGCACACCTCAGTGGATGCTAAGGTCACAGTTCATTTGTTTAAAAAGTTTCACTTCCCAAGGAGGCAACTTATTACATGTCCAGGACTCTAGGATAATTAAAATGTGTGCTCCAAACCCTCAGAAATATGCTCTTTGACAAACTTATTCCTGTTTACTCTAATTTGTGACACTAACTCCCAGTGCTACACCCACCTTTTCTCTTAAGATCTCATAAAAGAGCCTCACAACTCATACGCGGAAGAAAATACCATGTAATTCAGTTACTGCCACCACTGACTGAAATGTGTGGGGGTATCTTAGCCTCTCCTGATCCTCCCCCAATTCCTTTCCTCCCTTCAAATGCTTATTATTATTCAATATCGCCTTTCATCTTGTCAGCTTTGAAATGTAGTTACTGTTTTATTTGGGAAGACTGCAGAGTTCTTGAAGAATGTTAGCCTTACTTTCTCTAGGGAGCAGTGAGTTCAAAGATCTACTGGGATTCATTTAGCCTAATCCCTTATTACATTGTAGGCATCGAATTAATTAGGGAAAATAACAGATGATTCCTTTGGGTCAAAAACAGTAGATAAAACATCTATTGACTGGCTACAACTACTGGCTCAACTACCTGGGAATAGACAGGCTTTGGTGAATTTGACTGGATTGTAACATTGAAAAAGGAGATACTTTGGAAACAAACAAAAAATAAAGACTTTGGGAAACAAAACCCATTGGAAAACACATAGCCTGATTTATAACTTGCCTCCCCGCCGCTGGTCTATTATATAATTTATATACTCACTCTTTTCCGATGAGGACTGATTTCTAGCTTCATCACTGCACATTTGTTCAATGTATTTAGACGCCTATGGAGCAAAGAAATAACATTAGCAAAGAAAGGAAATCACTAATGGGTAAGTCAATACATTTTCCAAAAAAATGACATATTTAATAAGTTTCTTTAAACTCATTAATATCAACAATTTAGATGAGCGTTAGAACCTTCCTTTGGATTTCTTAAGATTTTCACTTAAATTTAATTTTTTATTATTATATAGAAAAAGGCACACTGCAATGACACTTCTCAAGTGCCTTTACTTCTTCTAATAATTCCCAGGCTGAGCCAGTAGGTAACTGAATCAGGCAGACTCCATGTCAAGAAATAAGAGCCTACCATGTCACTTTTTATAGAGACAAGAATAGCGAGAGACCATGTAGTGACATCAACCCTTCAAATAGTGTATTTTATTTCACATCAAAATTTGAATAAAAGCTATGCTTTAGTTATCGCCAAGTAATAATCTCAAGACAGCTTCTTTAAATTTTTGGTTTCTTGTGCAGACGGCAAATTTGAGGCCTCAATACCCAATTATTTTATTACTTCCTCCCAAGAATAATGTTAGCAAAAGGAGAGCAGTAGTACAAATGATTATTTAAAAAATGTGTATTCTGTAACAACAATGATCAAAAATCTGACAGAACTCTAAAATAAACACTTAATTAGGATTCTTCTTTGGAGCAGGAATCATACTAAAACCTTGAATACCCTTGCCAAATAGTAATGTCAATTTAATACTAGGGAAACAGGGCTGGGGTGTCATTCAGTGGTAGTATTCGCCTAGCATGATTAAACACTGGGTTTGATCCCTAGCACTGCAGACAGAGAAACACACACACACACACACACACACACACACACACACGGAAAGAATTACTTTCATAAATGAAATACAAAAAAAATAATGAAATAGTTAAATAGACACACTAAATACATACAATGAACTGGCCTCCAGGCTTCAATTCTTTCTAATATCTTCCAGGAGACTAACAAGGAGCCTTCCTCAAACCAACCTTTAATATGTCCACTTGCTGTCTTGTAGGAGTCTTCCCAGCAGTTTTCTAGTTTTCCTAAAATTTTAATTCTTACATGTTCGTGGGATAACTGTATCTAATTCCCGCACACTCAAACTGATTGTGTATTCTCTTCAAGGCTTTATCTTCCTGATCCCATTCTTATAACTTTTCTGACAACTTTGCTGCACCAGGATAGAAAGTATTCTGCCTGATTAAGATTTCCTTTGATTTCATAGGTAACACTGAATCATATTTATAAAATAAACAGATAAGGGAGATGGGCTATGTTCAGGAAAATTCACTCTGTTGATGGAGAAGGAAGGTAAACAAACTGAGAAAAAGTCTGCAGACTTAAAAAATGAGTGGGTACAAGGCCTGTCTCAAGGGGCATCAATTACTTAAATGACTTACGCACACAGTGCTTTAGGTCTCAAACGTGTTCAAGATTTAAAGAATCTGGAATGTTTACAGTCAAGTGTTAGGTCTGGGTTGCATTAATCAAATCTGTAATCAAATACCCACTTCACTCTATTTGGGCTTTAATGGTTGAATGGTGTTTATAACCAAATTTACTAGGCATGGTGTCTATGGGGGTTGGGGGAGGGAGGTTCACTTCACAAACTCTAGATTTAAGTCAAATAAAAAAGACCTAGGAGGCCAGTTTTAAAAGGTCAACTTTATCTTTTTATGTTGGTAGTAGTACCAAGGTAATGGCATTGCAGTTCTGGAGCACAGAGTTATTCCCTGGGGTTTCTGTGGTTTTTATTTGTCTCCTGGGACCTACAAAAGATGCTTATTGGTAGGACCTTAGTTACTTACAGAGAGATGGTGTTGGCATTAAATAGTAGTTCTAGCTAGAAAATAAGTTGGTCTCAGAAGTAGAGTAGAATAGTGATTACCACAAGTTGGGAAGGGGAGAGAGGAAGAATGGAGGATGATTATAGGGCTCCTCTTAGAAGAAGGAAAAAGAAAAACAATTTTGCAAGTAGGACTTGACAAAGATTATTTCATTTCTTAAAGATCTCTTCTTACGATGAGTGCAAATGTTTTAAAAAAGTATTGAATGGTTAGATAGGAACAATAAGTTCCAGACTGTTTTATAATATGCTAAGATGTCTAGTTAACAGAAATTTATGGAATATTTCAAAATAGGTAGTAGGAAGGATGTTGAATGTTCCCAATACAAGAAATGATAAATATCCAAGGCGATGGATATGCTAATCATGGATTTGATCATTACTCATTGTATATATGTGTTAAAATATCACACTGTAGCCATAAATATGTACAATTATTTTATGTGCATTAAAATTAAAAAATAGTTCTAGCTAGATGAACTGAGGCTTGCTCTAAGTGAGGCACTTTATATTATTACCTCATCTTAATCTTTACAATAGCCCTGTGGTATAGATATTACGTTTGATCTCCATTTTAAAATGAAGAAATGGAGGCTTGGAGAGATCAGAAATCTTGTCATGGCCACATGTCTGAAACATGATGGCTCTGGTACCTGAACACAGATTCTTCTGTGTTCTTTTCTAAAACAAATATTAATGAGAGGAATAGAGGGGAATAGCATGTATCCTAAGTAAGATTCTTCAAGTAAGTGGCTGAAACCCTGGTGTCAACAACCATATATCTGGAAGACTTGGTCATTTCCACCTTGGAGGCCTTCGCAGGATTCGGAGGCCTTCACAGGATTCCCTCCATTCCGCAGGACGGTGTGGTCTGATCTCCTGGGCAAGCGGTACCCTGCCTGCTCTGAAGCCATCAAAGGTCCAAGAACTTCACTGCACAGAGCACAGCAGGAAGGGATTTTATTCAAAATAAAAATAGGGGAAAGCAGAAAATAAGAAGGAGAAAGAAAACAAAGAATAACTTTCTAAAAGGGAACTGACAAAAATCATTCTAATTTTTATAGACGTTTTCTTGGAATTAGTACAAACGTCGTAAGATACTGCTTGCTTCCTTTTAAAGAGAATAGAAATGCTAATAAGGCTAAAGTCTACTCTAAGGAAAGCTCCTTAACATAGCTTAGGCATTTGGAGGGCCGACTTATTTATGTATTTGTTTGTTTGTTGACAGTTCTGGGGATTGAACCTAGGGCCTTCCCACTGTGCTACAACACCAGGCCTTTTTATTTATTTTGTCAGGGTCCCCTAAGTTTCTCAGGCAGGACTTGAATTTGCAATCTTCCCACCTTGGCCTCCCAAAGCACTGGGATTACTGGAGTGCACCACCACACCCAGCTCAAGGCTGTTTGAAAACACAGTGTACATCAAGGATGACAGTGTGGATATCTATTTTTCTTGTATAATTACCACTTGATGTTCATAATTCTTTAATGTGTTTACAGGAGTCGGTTTAATTCCAAAACAAAATAGCAATTTGGAATATTTCTGAAGCCACAAGAAGACAACATTTCACAGTCCAAGTTATCTGCCTATGCTTCAAGACAAGCTGATCAGCCCTCCATATACTGAGTACAGCTCTCTCATAATCATGGCCTTATCACTGGGTTAGTCAGCAAATGACAGTGTCTTCAAGGAAAAAATAAACACCTTATAGTGCAAGTATGAGAATGTTGGTTTGCAATCGAAATCCAATCTAACAGCCTCAGAGTTATAATTTTTTTCCCTTCTTTGTTTTTGTGCTCACACTGGAGATTGAAGCTGAAACCTCACACATGCTAGCTAGGCAAGGGCTCTGCCATGGAGCTACATCCCCAGTCTCATAATTAATTTGTGGACATTATCAAACCTTTAATTCTAAACAATATCACTGTTCTCCAAAAGCCCCAATTATGTCTACAAGTCTTCTGCTCTGAGTAGAAAATTTTAAGAGATTTTTCTTCTTCCAGCTTTTTGATTAAAAGCTATATGACTTGCAAATGTTGTAGGAGCATGAATTTTAACAAAACAGAACGCTCCTGTATTCACAAGGCCATTTCTACCATCCATACATAAAATATGGTCCAATACAGGGGAAGAGCAGTGGTGGGGAAAAGAAATTCCAAGGTGCTATGTATGAAGCCTTTTAAACAGTTTCTGCAGCTAGAGTTGCACACATATTTTAAATCATCTTTTCAAAACAGTCTACCAAAGCAAAAGACAGATTTCTACAAAAAAGTCTTTCAACTCAGAGACAATTTCACAAATCACAAGGTGAACTTTCGAACCATACTACAGCTATGTTATTTGCTGGCCCAGGAACGCTGTAGGCTAAGAAGATATGTAGAATAGGCAGGTCTAGAAAATGCGGTGAGTATCACACAGTCAGCAAAAGAAGTATCCCAACCACGCTCCGGACAGCTCAGAATTGTAAGTCATTTCAAAGGAGGGTCCTTGGCTCCCTTCTTTTTCTACCTGAACATCTGTGAGGGCCCTCACAAGGGGAATCATTTGCATGAAGGCTATTTTATGTGAACATGTGGATAAGGGCCTTTGAGTTTCCCGTACAAACAAACTGGATGACTGTTTCTATGAATTCTCAAGAATTTCTTTTTGAAAAGGCAAATGCGATCAAATCTGGCCCTGACAGCTTAATTTTAAAAGTACCTGACATCCACCAGTGCATCTCCTTCTCACAGCTCACCTGTGCTGTTATTCTGTATACCAGAAAAATGGAAGCCTAACCAGGAGATGTGGCAGATTGGATTTCCATCAAGGACCAGTTTCTTTTAGGCTCTTTTCACAACAGATTCAGGAGTACGGATTGATTATCTCCTACAGTAGGTGATTTCTCCAGTATTACTTAAGACCTATGCAAATCACAAAGGGCAGAGGATGCCCTTTCCTTCATAAAAAGAAAAACACTTAAAAAATACAAAACTCTCAAAGCAACACAATGAACATTTCATTCCTCATCAAGTTCCTTGGGAGAAAAAAGTCGTTCAAGACAGTTCTCTAAGGTGCCAAGAAAAGTACTCAAAAACTGAATCATGGTTCTTGGCCCTGAAATGTTGCAGTGATATTTTTATGACCCAGAAATTCCTAAGCTGTTGATGCTGCTCAGAAGGCCCACTCCCTAAATGGCTTCAAATGTGTGAAATGGATGATTTGACACACGATTAAATATTTCTTAAGGTATGTTTTTTTTAGTGACCTCATTCATATGCATTATCACCAGTGATGAATCGAAAATAAATTAATTCTGCTCCATAACTAAGTGGGAAAACATTTTAACAATGTCTGGAGTAGTTCATATTCCAGATGCAGACTTCTTTCCCTCCTCAAACTGCACTAGTGACATTTTTTCATTCCACGTGACATAACTATGACATTACGTAACTCCAGCTGCAGGACTTGGAATTAGCTTCCTTCCAGAAGACATGTGCATACCCTGGACATTTCTAACCAGTCATTTAGTTCTGCTTGAAAACTTGACAGTGTTTCAGTGGTTAATATGGCATTTTTTTCTTTCTTAAACCATGAGAACTAATCTTTTCTCTATACCATTTTAAACACCCTACCATTCTCCTAAACTACTACTTAAATTGGCTGTTTCCACACTGTGCTATGTAAGAAAGACAAAAACTAGTACACTTTCACATGGCTACCACTTTGAGACATGTCGGATACTGTTCTCTCTTGATATTTTTCCAAGTTAAAATAAATATTGAAATTAAAGGACACTTTATTTTAAATGTACAATCAAATTGACAAGAGAATTTTGTTCACATATAATTTTTTCTTCCAGAATTCAGCTGTTAGGGCTTTTAGGATTGGAGAAAAATTATGAAGGGTGAATAATCTAAAACGAGTAAAACTGTCATGAAGGGTTTGAAAAGATAATCATTGCCACATCATTGCCTATCCTAGGCTTTATTGCTTCTACTTCACTAAAACCTCCATGCTGCTCCTCAGCCTAAAGTGCCACCAGTGCAGCGAACAAAGACTTCAGACAGTTTTATTCACTCTCACATCAATGCTCATTTACTGCCTGCCTCCTATATGTCAAAGACTGTGCTGAGTTATTTTATAGCCTATTTAATCCCGGAGTTACTATGGTACAGCTAAGGCAGCCAGAAGATCTGGGGAGCTTTCCTGGAACTCAAAAAATAATCTAAACTCCACTATGCTGTGACCCCTGCCCCACCTTTTGTTACTCTGAAGGTGTGTGTTACTTGCACTCAACAGAACAGCAGCTTTGACTTTTTTGGGGTGCCTGCTTGGGGTGACGAAGTCCAGCAACATAATGTCAATCGCATCATTTCTTTAAAAAAAATCCTATTCCAAGTTTTGAAGCCATCAAAGTAAAAATACAGTACAATTATCAAAATATGAAACGGTATTACTGGAACACCTCTAAAGACAGTGGAGATGGTATTTCAATGGTAATATTACATACAGCATTTTCCTTCATTTTAATTAAGAAGTCTATAGTTTATAGCAAAGTAAATCACTGTACCGTTTGCTAATCAAAGATGACCTAACTGGAACAAAAGAAATCAAACCCTAGTGACAAGTACTGTGCTTCTAATGAAAATGAAAATTCTCAAAACATCTTCACTTACCTGCATAAGGCCTCAATGGCATCTCTGTCCAAAAAGTCATGCTCCCTCTTGACCAGGGTGATATCAATAGGGAACAGGAGATCTGTAAGAAAAACAAAAACAAATGTATTTATTGAATACCTAGGTTCTTGCTGAACTGAGCTAGGTCAGAAGAAGTCCCAAAGCAACACACTGAGTATCTACAGAATACTTCATTCCTCATCAAGTTCCTTGGGAGAACAAAGTTGTTTAAGACAATTATCAGTATACAAAAGCAGCTCTAATATGTTCAAAAAGTCAAATCTTGCTTCTTGTCAAAAAGACTTGGTTCAAAACTCTATTTCACCTTTTCAAAAATTAGCAAATTATAATCTAAACCAGAATGAGTGGGATAATGTGGCTTTTTAAAAAATGCATGTTTTTGCTCATGTAATCAGAGCAGAGGTCATGAAAATACTACAAACAACAACAACAACAAAACAATACAACTGGACCAAGGAGAGATCTAGAGAACAGCCAGGGGTAGTCAGTTGGACTAATCCATTTGTCTGACATAAAGAGCTAGAGCTAATTCAAGATATGCTACTTTAAAACAAATATTAGCACTTCAATATGGCCTTGGGCGGGTGTTATATAACTCCCTCTAAAACAAAGTTAGTTACTATAAAATAATAGAATCCCCAAACGCCTTAATCTGAAGAAGATTAAGAACAAAAAAGAACTTGTATGAGACGGCAAAGTAGAAAGTCAATAGAAAAATGTCCTTTCCCTTGTAGAGAGTAGAATAGTGCTTACTAGACAGTGATAAAGAGTATGGAATACAGAGAGGATGGCTGATGGCTGACAAGAGATAGCTGGAGAGGAAGGATGAGCTCTTGGCACAGTAGGATACCTATATTTGACAACAATTAATTGTAATTTTCAAAATAGCAACTACAGAGAATTTTGAATGATCCCAACCCAAAGAAGTGATAACTATCTGGTTTGACTGCTATGCCAATGACCCTGGTTCTGATCACTACACATTAGACAGAGGTAGCAAAATCTTAAACTGTGCCCCCTAAATACGTGTGATTACTATCTGTCAATATAAAATGTGCACCTTAAGTTGCAGGGTTTAAAACAAAAAATTCCAGAAGAGAGAAAAAAAGAGATCCCTTGTAGATAATGATATCCAAGACCAGCAGGGAGGAGACAGACCAACAGCACCACCGTGGAAATATACAACAGTGCTGAAATTGCTCTACATGAAGGCCAGCTATTACCTTCATTGGAGCTCAGTTATCAGGGCAAACAATGGGCCTTCCCAGCAGAACACATATATAGCATCATCAATCTGTGTGACACTATGGGTCAGGAATGGGCCAAAGAAGCCATCCCAGGAAGGTTACCATCTTCTAAACATCTTTCTGGCTTTCTATATGGTTAATGCTGCATTCTGAAACAGATCTTGATATTGGGAGTTTGGGAGTTGTGGGTAACTAGTAATATTTTATTTCTTAACTTGAGTAGACAATGTGTGGCTTCATTAGTTTCTAATTTACTATTGCTGGCTTTACAGAAATGCAACACCTTATTTCTAATAATCCATTTCTTCAGGACTCTACTCAAGAGCAATAGTGTCTAATTCATGATCACTGGTTTTACAGAATTATATGGAACATCTTATTTCTAAAAACGTACTCTAAGTATCTTTATAAAAACAATGTTGAGGCTGGGGCTTTAGCTCTGTGGTTCTTCAGCCTGCCTTGCAAGCACAAGGCCCCGAGTTCAATCCTCAGTACCACACACACACACAAAACAATGTTGAAAGCTATCATAATGATTGTTACTTTACTATCAATTCTTTTTTTTTTTTTTTTCTGAAGGGAAGGGCTGGAGTACTGATATTATTCTCTGACTGATAACGCAGCAGATCAATGAAATAACGGTGGCCCCCAAATTGATGAAGAATATATGGAAATCAGTATCAGAGGATTATGTTTCTTCATGCCCGAATAGACTACGTCTCTCTTAGGCAAATGAGTAGCGAATGTGTCATAGCAGAAACACAAGAGGAGGTTTATAGGAGGATGTAGCTATCCGTTAATGGGAGCCAGACAACATACCCCCGTCAAGAAGGAACATGTGATTATATTAATAGAGCCAACATTAAAGAACAGGTTAATACTTAAACAGTATAACATCAAATCTATAAATGTGAATTAAAGAGTTCATATGCCCGTTAAGTATATCCAAGAGAGCAATTGTGTTATTTTAGCAATTTCTAACTTGGTGCACGTAGGGCTATATTTTAGATTACTTTCCTGACCCAAGTTAACTATAACTCAGTTTAAAAAAATATCCGGTAGTGACTAAATGAGAACTTAATCAATAGTTTTCTCTTCTTTGCCTACACTCTTCTCTGAAAGAACTGCTTTCTGAAAGATGATAGTTTGCTGATGCATCAAAGTTCTCTGAGCCGAACTTTCAGCCTGAGTTTAAAGGCAGGACGTATAAACGGCCAAGCACCAAAATAAAGCTAAACAGGAGGATGAGGAATGTCAGTCGGTGTGTGGTGCGGGTGCTCACCCTGTGCACGGGGGCAGGACGGGAGGGGCAAACGACAGCACACAACAATGTGAGGTGTGCCTCAAAAGTGGGCTTGTGCCTCAAAGAACTTGGAGCCAAGATGGCACCCCACCATGTCACGCATAAAGACGCAGCCCGCACCGCAGGACTGTGAAAGGAGACGGACAAACTGGAGCTGAGTCTTAGCAAACAGACTAGTCACATCAGGTGCCACCTGGAAGCAAATCGAAGCCAAGAAAGGACATAATTGAAGGAAATTTAATTTTTAAACAGGAGAACAAAAGGACAGCCACTTTAGGGCCACTGCAAATGCAATTATCTTTCCCTATCTCCAGGAGAGGTGTGAAATGGAAATCTAATTAAATGCTGTTGCTTCTCTAACAACAGCCAAAGCCCCTTAACAGGTCAAAAATTCTCTCTAAAGGAAAGATAAGCAATTCTGCCACATTAAGTACGGTATGAACCAAATAACTTTAAAGAAAGAAGAAAATGAAATTGGGGTAAATTATTTTAGAGACTAAGGAGAAGTTCAGAATACATCTTCAAGCAAAAAATTATGTAGTTAATTTGGACATTCAGGAAGATCAGATACTGTAAATTAGAGATCATTATACACCCAATGTTGCTTGAAAATTATCCATAAAATGGAACTCACTAATTCATAGATGTTAATTATTTTTAAATGATTTCATGAACAGTATCATAGAACCCCGTTAAAATGAACAGCATGTCCATCTCGACGTGCAGAGCACACAGGCTTACTGCCCGGGTACCCAAAGGATCAGACCAGGAGCCAGAAATGAATGCTTTTCACCCTCCAGCCTAAGCATCCCAGTGACCCTCACAGCACGGAGGAGATAATAGAGAAAAAATTTACTCCAGATGCTAATTTAAGAAAAGGCTCATTTTTCCCTAACCCCCGCCAAAAAAATTAAGTGACAAAAAGTACCACTAAGAGAAAGACATTCTAGAAAGGGAAAATTATCTGCCACTCATGACCAAAAGAGGGCTTCTACAAATTATTTAGAAAAGCATAATCAACTTAAGAGAACAACAGGACTGAGATATTTTACAGAAGAGCAAAACATATATGACCAAATGACATGAAGACCTTCTTATCATTAATGATTAGAGATCTGGAAGCTAAAATCTGTATGTCATTTTGTGTCTACCAGATTAACAAAAATTAAAGTCTGACGGTATCGATATATTATTGGTAGGAGTGAAAATCAGTAGAAAGGTTTGCATTGTGAAATGGAACACACATATTTTTTATCACTCAGTAGCTCTATCCTTCAGTTACACACAAGATGTCATTATACATATACTGTAAGAGACAGGTACAAAAATGTTCCAAACTGCAGGGTTTTTTTTTTGTTTTGTTTTTGTTTTTTCTAGTGCCAGGGATTGTACCCCAGGGCTTCTGCACTGAGTTACACCCCAGCCCTTTAAATTTATTTATTTATTTATTCATTCATTTATTTTTTCCAATTTTGAGACAAGGTCTTCCTAAGTTGCCAAGGCTGGGCTTGAACTTGCACAGTTTATAAAAGCAAAACGGAAACACCCACCAGTGAGAACATGGACATCATTAGGATTTACATCTATGACGCCTCCCCCAAAGCCTCATGCACTCACAGGTGGGTTTGGGGAGGTGACTGGATCACGAGTATGCGACACTCTCACTGCATCAGTCCACGGCTGGGTTTACAGCTGCGTGTGAGGTTGGGAGGTGAATCCTGGATGAAGGAGATGGGTCCCTGGGTGCGTGGCCTGGAAGGGCACATACTCGTCTTCCTCCTCGACTTCTGAAGCTGGACTGCCATGACATGAACTATTTCTCTCCTGCCAGCCCCTCTGCCTCAGAACCAAATATAGGTTGAAACCGCTATAAACTGGGAAACAAAGTCAGCCTCTCCTTTCTGTTGTGGGTGTCGAGTATTTTGTCTCAGAAACAAGAGAAGTAAGGAGGGAAGACTGGGATACACAACATTCCACAGGATGGAGTATTATACAGCAGTTAAAGCAAATGAACGATGGGGGACACTCATTTCAGAAAAATACTAATACAACAGGAAACGAAAAACTTGAATCCTGCAAGATGACACGTAAGGATGAAGACAACTTTATCAACGTGTACTTTTTCCAGAGCATATAGCAAAATGATATAAATGATGACAGAGGTTTCAGAATGCTGGTAATTCCTGGCAGCAGGACAGAACACTGCACAAATGGATGTGTTATTATCGAGGTCATAGCCATTGTTTTGAGAGGTGGGGATCTCAGGTGTTTATCACATTACGTTTTTAAGTGAAATAGTTAACTATTAAACAAGCATTATATAACATGTCGAGATAAATCATGGATCGATAATAATCAGGAACCTTGAATCAAAGATGATGATTATGTTAATTTAAAGAAAAATAGTTTTTCTGGCTTACCTTCATAAAGCTGTGCATATTGGGGAAAACCCGTGGCCCGCAACCAATCACAAGCTTCCTTGGCTTCTATTTCTAGAACAGAACAGAAGAAAGACAAAATTGTTAGCCTTGTGTACCTCAGCATGCTTTTCTTTTTCTTCATAAATTGATCTTACTGTATTATATAAGCAAGGCAGTCATTATGTAAAAAAAAAATACGGGTAGGCAAACATAAAATAGCCTATTTAATACAGTTTAAATCCTTATTCATATTTTCAGACATTTTTCAAGAGAGTTTGATTATGTATCTTCCCTTTAAAGAAAATACAGAAACTAAGTCTGAAAAGTCAGTCTGCTGGCTTCTCATGTGCTCAGGTTACAACTGATTATTAAAATAGTGGTACCATGAGGGAGCTGAAGAGAGATTCTACAACTAACTTTTTAACTCTGATTAGCCTAACTGGATTTATTTTTTCACTTCGACAAAAGTCTACCCGGTACATCTGACACCGAAGGGTAGAACTTTCCTGGGCCCTAAAACAGACTTTGTGGCACCAATGCGCTGGCCATTTTAATTTTCTTTTATTGGTTTATTTATTCTTTCTTTTCTGCAGTACTGGGGCTTGAACCCAGGGCCCAAGGGACTTTTGCACTGAGCTACATCTCCAGCCATTTTAAAATTTTGAGATAGGGTCTCAATAAGTTCTTAAGACACTTGAGCTAGGCTCAAACTTTCGATCCTCTTGCTTCAGCCTCAGTTTTAAACGCCTCAGACGTCGGGATGTGCCTCTCATTGCAGGATGTTAATCCAGTAAGAGAAAGTCCCAGGTGTTCACAGAACACAGGGGAAATGAAGTCACCAAACCCTACACACTTGGCAGGCTGAAAGACCTAATAAAGATCCTGCTTCTCTGCGGTTGAACATCTTGTAGATAGTATTGATAAACAGAAAGGCCAGGAGTAACTGACGTACTGTTAGAACTCACTCAAGCACATATTTACAATCTTGTTAAAACTGACTCACAGAGGAGGTCCTGGACACATTAATTAGTTTCTCTATTTGCACAAAGAATATTCCTTTCAACTCCCCTTCCTACCTTCCTCAGGCCGTGAGAGTACTTAGTTATGTAAGGCTATTCACTTCTTCACAAGCATCTCAACATTGTTTAATTCAGCCCAGATTAAAATCTTTATTAAGCATCTCTTCAGAGCCAGATGTGAGGCCGATTGTCAATATTAGGAAAAGTATAGAGAACCAACTTTTGTCTAGTAACTTTATGGTTTCAAACCAACAGTTTTCACCTAGAATTTTAGGAGTTCATTAGCTTTTCAAGAAAGGTAATTAAGAAACTCAGGTTCATTAAAGTAGGTAGGAATGTCCTTACTGGAGTACACCAACGAGAAAACCCCTGATTTTCCAAGGTAGTCAATACAATAACCAGGCTAAAAAAAAAAAATACGACTCTGGAGTAGAATTCAAAGGCACAGCCAAGTTTATTTTCCTAAGTCTTTTCAGTAAAGAGATGAAACAGTATTCTACACATAAGACTGGGGACAGCACTGGGGTGAAAGATGGAGGGCATAACTGTGTGTAGGTACAATGCTTGTGCTGAACAAAAGAACAGGCAGAATGGCCCCTGTGAATTACTGGAGACTAACACTTTTTCCATATTTGTGCAACCATACCTGATAGCTGTAAGGAAGCCAGGAAGTTTTAAAGAGAATCACGATAGAAATACTTTCTAGAAAAATTATACTTCTGGCAAAAACATAAAAGTTCAAAATTTTACTTTAAAGAAGGAAGAAATTACTTTTTCTGCCATCTCCATGTCCTTTCCCTACTCTCAAAGACATACAGGAAGAAATAATGCTGCTTTAAGTATTATTTTAAATAATTCACTTGTTTTTGAGTTCTTAGAAATCACTGAACAGATTAAGACACTGAACAACAGATTGATAAAAAAATGAATATGCTCGCTTTCTTAATATTTTACTTAGTAGGCTGTAAGCCATAATTCCATCCCTTTTTGACTATATACAGGTCAGCACACATACAACCCTTCATTAAGATACCAATTCACAAGCTGATTTTGTCACCTATTTTAAGCAAATTCTTGATTTTCTTATTAAAAGTTTCATATTAGAAGGGATGAAAGACGCAAGATAGTGTTCTAAAAAATTCACATTTATTTATATAGTAAATAATATAATACAATATAATATAATAATAATAAATAATAAAGCACATGTATTACTTAGATTTCAGGAACACACAAATGATATGATCTCCTGTCACTCTTAGTTTCTACCACTAAGAGAAAGAAAACCTCTCCCAGCCAAAAGATGATCTAATCCAAATGACACAGTTGCTCCTCATGCCACCTGGCTGGAAAGAAACCTGAATGGGCACAGCTTTGCTTCTTCAGCAGATAATTTCATTAAAAGCTCATACAATGGCTAAAAGGTAGCATTTTCAAAACCGTAGAAACCAGGTAATTTGATCCTTCTTTGTCCTTATCCTGATTCTCAGATGAGAATCTCTTACACATAAAACAACACCGATAAGCACTGAAAATATTGACTCACTGAAAACTCAGCCTGCTTAACAAATGAGAACTTAGTGGAAATCAGAATTAGAAAACTGTAAAAAGTTGACACAGATTTTTTAAATTTGTAGATTTCACTCTTGTCGATATACTATTTTTACTATGAAATGAACCCGGATCTACATCCCGGGCAGATAGGTAACATCTGTCCTGTTTCACTCCCTGATTTAGGTCTATTCACTCCTCTCTTCTCACCGAAACTCCTGATCCCATCTCTCCCTCACACACTGCCTAGAGAGTCAGGTCTAATCACCTTTATCTCCACGGTTTCCCACAATACCCTTGTGGCTTCTCACCTAATTTCTCAGTTCCCTGTACTCTATCTTCCTAGTCAAAGTAGTGTGGTGTTCAACTTCACACCTACCCTGTGACTTCCTGGGCCTGAAATGTCCTCCCACCTTTCAAGGTCAAATTTCACTCATCCCAAGGTCCAACTCAAATACTCCATCTCTATAGAGTCTTCCCAGGTGCCTGGACAATTCTATCAGTGGTACCTTATATGGAGCATGTAATGTGTGCAAGATCCTGTCTAAGCACTGAGTACGTATTCTTTCATTTACTGCTCAGAGCAATCCTAAAATGTGGAGTGCTAATACCATCCATAAGATAAAAAGACGCTAAGAAACAAGCAGAAGAATGACTCTCTCTCCGTAAAAACAAGCTTCCTTGATATTCACATTTTAGGGGATAAAAACCTAGAGAAATGTAAATTTCTTCATGCAACATAGGTTCTTCCTTTAAAAAATACATAGCAATGAACAGACTTTAAAATATTAAAGAAAACTATATACTCATTGCTTCAGTCACCTTTAGATCTCCCCCAGGCTCATTTTGGAGATTTCTAACAGGCTCTGATCAGGGTATAATTTTTCCTTGTGTATGTGTGGTTAGTGGTATAAAATTTGAGAGTGATTAAAAAAAATTCCCCACTGGGCAAAATCGCCATTGTAGGCTCTGATCAGGGTATAATTTTTCCTTGTGTATGTGTGGTTAGTGGTATAAAATTTGAGAGTAATTAAAAAAAAATTCCCCACTGGGCAAAATCGCCATTATAAACTACAAGCACAATGGAAATACAATGAAACTTTTATAGGTGGGTTTTCTCTGAGCAAGCAACAGAGAAATGTACTAAGGAGGAAACAGGGAATTTTTATTGGAAACAGCTTTAGTCTTTGGTCCTTTCACAAGGTAGTTCTTCGTGTAGATAAGGGAGACCCTTTTGTGTACGTCTGGGAATCATCAGGTGGCATCTACAGGTTTCCTTGCACAATGGGATGCCCCAATCTTCCCCTTACCCCTCAAAAGCAACTCAGCAGCTGTTCCCCAAGCTTATCATCACGTTGCTGAGCTCTACAATGCGAGCCAGCCGAGAGCAGGGATGGGTCTGAGCAGAATGGGATCAAGCTTTCCATGTTCCCTCTGATCTACCTTCACAGCAGGAGCTCTCAGCTTTCTTCCCTTCTTCCCAACATGACACCGAAATCAAGGCTCGTGCAATTTGCTCCTTAAATGAAACTGTAAGGAATTAGAGGTTTCTTACAAAAATGCAAGCATTTACCCCATTCCTTGGGTTTCCTGAAATATGACAGACTTGTGAGCAAAGGTTCAGGGACAAATGGATGCTTTCACCACTACAGGGAGTCCCTTTGGCTCTGTGTGGGCAGGCAGTGCTTCCTGATCCAAACCTACATTCATTCCTGCCCGGGGTGACTCAGACTCCAAATGTTACGAAAGATTCGACTCACTAATCCCCCTGACTATGTCAAGGTGGCACGTTTTGCGAGGCGGTCATTCAGCTGGACCCAACAAGATGACTTGAATAACACTGCATCATTACCTGGTGGGCAGCTCACCTAGAGAAGCAACCATGGCCTTGAACACCTGTAGAAAGGCAAGGAGATCTCACTATCAACCCCAGAGGAGGAGGCATTACCCTGGGAGGCTTTCTAAAAAATGCCAACAACCACCCTCTGTCAGATATTCTGATTTACTCAGTGGAAGGAGAGTCTGGCCATCATTTTATTAATGCCCTAAATAAATTGAAGCACAGCCAGGATTGAGGAGGGCCAGACAACATTTCCCAGTATTCCTTTGTCCTTGTTCTCTTTCTCTGGATTATCCTAATAGCCTCTTAATTGAACCCTCCGATAAGCCTTGTTCCCTACCCCCAACAAGTCTGTCCTGGTCCATGGGGTTCTCTGAAACACTGCACTGGTTTTTGCGAAACCAGTTTTTATTTCATTATATCACTCCTCCGCTTGGAATTCTTCAGTGACTTTCCACCGACTTTCAGATACAATGCTAACTTTCCAGCAAAGTCCCAGAGCCTTCATAACTCAGTCTCCGTCTGTCCCTGCCACTCCGTGGGGGGGGCAGGTTGCCAAATGGGGGCACTCAGAGTTCCCAGGACGGCCGGGACTCTCAGACATCAAGGCCTGTATTCTCTCATCTGCCTCCAACAAATTTCCCCTTCTCCTTCCCCCACCG